TTATGTCAATAAACTGTTTTAACGTAAAAAGAAGAAATCTTTGAAAGAAAATGAGAGTTTTGTGCTAAGCTTATTCAAGTTCCCTTTGACGTCACGAAGAACGTTTTAATGAGTAAAGATTCAATCTTTGATTGAAATTACCTCATTCAAGGTACCAATTATGTCATTAGACCTATTATTTAACTGGACAATTTTTATGTACAGAGATTAAATCCTTGAAAGAAAATGAGAGTTTTGATTTAAACATATTCAAGTTCCCTTTGACGTCACAAAGAGTGTTTTAATGAATGAAAATTGAATCTTTAAATGAAATTTCCTCAATCAAGGTACCTAATACGTCACTAGACCTATTTAATGTTTAAAGATTGAATCTTTGAAATAAAATGAGAGTTTTGAGTCAAATTCATTCGAGTTCCCTTCGACATTCCGAAGAGGGATTTTATGAGTAAAGGTTGAATCTTTGAATGAAATTATCTCAATCAAGGTACCTATTATGTCACTAAACCTTTTTAACTTATAAAGGTTAAGTCTTTGAATGAAAATTAGAGTTATGAGTTTAACTTATTCGAGTTCCCTACGAAGTTGCGAAGAGTGTTTTAATCCCTAAAGATTTAATCTTTGAAAGAAAATATCTCAATCAAGGTACCTATTATGTCACTAGACCTTTTTAATTTATAAAGATTGAATCTTTGAAAGAAAATTAGAGTTTTGAGTTAAACTTATTTGAGTACCCTTTGCCATCCAGAAGATTGCTTTAATGAGTGAAGATTGAATCTTTGAATGAAAATACATTAATCAAAGTACCTATTATACCACTCGACCATTATAATGTATAAAAATTGAATCATTGAAAGAAAATGAGAGTTTTTAGTTAAACTTATCCAAGTTCCGATTGACGTCCCGAAGAGTGTTTTAATGAGTAGAGATTGAATCTTTGGATGAAAATACCTCTATCGAGGTATCTATTATGTCACTTGACCATTTTTAATGTATAAAGATTAAATCTTTGAAAAAAATTAGAGGTTTTTGTTAAACTCGTTCGAGTTCCCTTTCACTTCATGAAGAGTATTTTAATGAGTAAAGATTGAATCTTTGAATGAAATTACTTCAATTTAGGTAGCTATTATATCCCTAGACGTTTTTAATATATAAAAAATTGAATCTTTGAAAGTAAATGAGAGTTTTGAGTTAATCTTATTCGAGTTCGCTTTGACGTCACGAATAGTGTTTTAATGAGTAAAGATTGAATCTTTAAATGAAATTATTTCAATCAAGGTACCTATTATGTACTGGACCTCTTTAATGGTTCAAGATTAAATATTTGAAAGAAAAACGACAGTTTTGAGTTAAACTTATTCGAGTTTCCTTCGATGTTCCGAAGAGTGTTTTCTTGAGTAATTATGACAGTTTTGAGTTGAAAGATTGAATCTTTGAAAGAAATTATCTCAATCAAGGTACCTATTATGTCACTAGTCCTTTTTAACATATAAAGATTGAATCTTTGAATGAAAATTAGAGTTTTGAGATTAACTTTTTCGAGTTCCCTATAGAGTTGTGAAGAGTGCTTTAATGACAAAAGGTGGAATCTTTGAAAGAAAATATCTCAATCAAGGTACCTATTATGTCAGTATACTTTTTTAATCTATAAAGATTAAATCTTAAAAAGAAAATGAGAGTTTTGAGTTGAACTTATTTGAGTTCTCTTTGAGATCACGAAGAGTGTTTTAGTGAGTAAAGATTGAATTTTTGAATGAAATTACTTCAATCAAGGTATTAACTATGTCACTTGACCTTTTAATTATATAAAGACTGATTCTTTGAAAGAAAATGAGAGTTTAGAGTTTAACTTATTCAAGTTCCCTATGAAGTCGCGATGAGTGTTTTAAAGACTAAAGATAAATTTTTCGAATGAAAATACCTTAATCAATGTACCTATTATGTCACTAGACCATTTTATTGTATAAAGATTAAATCTTTGAGAGAAAATGAGAGACTTGATTTAAACTTATTCGAATTCCCTTTGATGTAACGAACAGTGTTTTAATGACTAAAGATTAAATCTTTGTATGAAAATACCCCAATCAAGGTACCTTTAATGTCACTCTACCTTTTTAATGTATAAAGATTGAATCTTTGAAAGAAAATGTGAGATTTGAGTTAAACTTAATCGAGTTCCCATTGATGTCCCGAAGAATGTTTTAAAGAGTAAAGAATGAATATTTGAATGAAAATACCACAATCAAGGTACATATTATGTCAGTAAACCGTTTTAACGTAAAAAGATTAAATCTTTGATAGAAAATGAGAGTTTCGTGCTAAGCTTATTCAAGTTCCCTTTGACGTCACGAAGAACGTTTTAATGAGTAAAGATTCAATCTTTGATTGAAATTACCTCATTTAAGGTACCAATTATGTCATTAGACCTATTATGTCACTGGACCATTTTAATGTATAGAGATTAAATCTTTGAAAGAAAATGAGAGTTTTGAGTTAAAAATATTCGAGTTCCCTTTGACGTCACAAAGAGTGTTTTAATGAGTGAAAATTGAATCTTTAAATGAAATTTCCTCAATCAAGGTACCTATTATGTCACTAGACCTATTTAATGTTTAAAGATTGAATCTTTGAAATAAATGAGAGTTTTGAGTCAAATTCATTCGAGTTCCCTTCGACATTCCGAAGAGGGATTTTATGAGTAAAGGTTGAATCTTTGAATGAAATTATCTCAATCAAGGTACCTATTATGACACACCCCAATTCAATTTACACTATTTAAGAAATTGAACAAATTGGAATGTATCTAACCATCTACATTAACCTCATTCAACATGACCTCATCATACATCAGAATACCTGCTTAACAATTTCAATTTAAAACAAACTATAAGCCTGTTATGCAAATTCTGACAAACTAAAATGTTAACGACAAGTTACACCTTTAAATTGTACTACAATATTTACATCTTAAACAAAAGACGGTTCATTGTTCCTTTCCCCATTCCCACTCGAGATTCTAGACCTGGCAGTAGCAACACAACCTAATACCAGAAAAAAAATATAAATATGGATGGAATGAGCTTAAAGCCCAGTGAATGCAACACTACTACCTCAGAGTAATATAAACAAATATTATCTGATAACTTCAATTAAACTTCATTACAGGCATTAAAATATAGTACTCTCCTTCTAGGCCAGAGTATGGACCTTATTTAAATATAGTACTATCTTTCTTGGCCAGAGTATGGACCTTATTTCATGTAGTACTCTCTCTCCAGGCCAGAATATTGACCTTATATAATATATTACTCTCATTCCCGGTCAGAGTATGGACCTTATATAATATACTCAAATTATATATATTCATCTTCAATTCACATAAACAGCTTCAATACTTCAATTAAACACATCCAGGTATAAACTTCCAGTGAGTACACTCACCTTGGCTACTTTTCCAATTATTTATTTTTCCTTCGGTATCGTCGATGTAGTTCGTTCCGTCTCCTTGCCTGAACAATATTATAACCATGTCATATTTATTTCTAAAGAGAAAGAAATAATACTCTTCATCTCCATAATAAATCTCAAATATTCTGCAATTCTAGTCAAAATTTTCTAATTATAAATATTTAGATTAAATTTCACCCAATGGACTAGAGTTAGACTACAGTCATATTAATTTATGTGAGACCACAATTGAAGCTATAATTAAAAGTAGAATAAATGAAATATATTCAAGAATAATTACTTGAACTGAAATTTAAATACGAAACTTCCAATATAGAATTAGAAATACAAATTTCCTCACCTCACTACTTCCATACAAATAGCCCAACAATAACTTATTTTCTTTTCTTCCTTTTCTCTCTTTCTTGTTCGGCTTAGACTTCTATAAGCTTACTATGCTATATGAGGGTGTGTGCTCTCACCTCCTTAAAATAAGCTCTTAGAGAAGCTTGAATATGCTTATATTATATTAATATGTATATTAAAATTTCTGTCATCATGTAGACTTACAAACTCAGCTCTAAAATTTATTATACCCTATCTATAGATATAGATAGATAACATCAATACATATCCATACCATACCCAGCCAGACTTGTATCTATGAAAACTACTCATAGAAAACTACTCAATCCAGAAAGAAGCAATGAAATTACATAAAATATACTAACAAAGAACTAAATAGCTCAACTTATGAAGAATTAAGAATAAACTTCCATATAGATTAAGATATAAATTTCTCTACCTGTAATGTAATCCCATGGAAATTTTCCTTAATCTCCTTCTCTTATTAGTCTTCTTTCCCTCTTTTCTATATATTTTTTTTCTGTTTCTTCTTCAATGGCTGAAAACCCCTCTTTTAATGCTATTTCTTCTTTTGTTTTTCTTCCCTCTATTATACACTCTCTGGTTAAATGATAAACCCACAGATTGTTCGTAAGAAACAACTTCTTCTAGAAGGTTTAAAGGAAATATTATATTATTTTTTAGCACAATAAACAAATAGCCTCCCAAATGAACATTAGAATTAAGTCTATCTCACACTACAAGAAATGTGGGCTTTTACGACATAGTATTTACGGGGCCTCTTTATTTTGCCTCGTGATTACCATCATTTACGGAGTTTTTAAAAGAATCCTCATAATTGTTACGTTATAGGACATGCTTCCACGAGGATTTAGTAAAATCGTCGTAGAAAAATGTTTTTACGGTGTATTAAAGATGTCGTGAATATTTAGATATATCTACGGCATATTTGTACACTTTTAACAGTATAAATGTTCCTTGTTGAAAACTTTCACATTTAAGGCACTTTTTTTCCCCGTAAATAAGCAATAACACTTGCCCACCAAATTGAATAGGCACAGTTAATAAAATTACTTAAAAAATATATTTAAAAAAATGAATTTAAGTCTTTTATGGTGTATTAAAGAGTCCGTGAATAAATTTCACACTTAACGCGCCTTTTTTACGCCTTAAATAAGTTCCACCAAAATAGCCGGCCAAACAAGGAAAAAGCCCACCAAAATACTTTCCCACCCAAAAAATTTCACTCCCCCGCCAAAGTGCTGAAGTAAATAGGCGGACAAAAAAAGAAAAAAAGAAAAAACCCATTTCAGAGTTTTTCTTCCCCAAAGAAGCTTCAACGAGAGTGTGGAAAGAGAGAGACCCGAATCTCTCATCTATCGATTTCTTTGGACGAACCGTGTTGGTGGCAGTAACTTGAGGAAAGAAAGCTTGATTTCCTAAACTCATCTTTCTCAGATTGGACTCCGGACGGTGTCGATCATTCCGTCAGCGACCAGCGAAGAGGTTAGGGTTTTCAACCAGCGACGAAAAATTGAAGTTGAATCGAGCCACCATGGACGACGGTACGTACCTTGTTATAGTTGCCTCTCATCCTTTCCATTATCAGTCTAATCTTTTTCACAAAATTTTCTCTATATCTATACATTTTTATGCACATATGTTTGTATATGTGTGTGTGTGTCTGTGAACTGATTCTTGATTTGATTTATTTGAGCGAGCTATTTGTTTATACTACCTAGAGAAGAAAATGTTTATTCCCACCAAAACCCCCCCTTACTCACATGGGAAACCTTGAAAAAACAAAAACAAAAACCAATTCCCCCTAATTTTTCTTCAGTCCTTTTGCAAAGAGAAGCCCTAGAACATGATACGCCGACCGCCATAGTCCTTGATTCCACTGACCACAACCTTCGTACGCCTTGATTTGCATACTTGTCGTATTTCTACCCTCATTCAAGACTTTCAAGCGCTGCTTCATTCTAGTTCTCTCTCTAGTACTCTTCTTTTCTTTTATCTCTCTCAAAATATTGCGGTTTCAGTTTGGCCGGAGAATCGAAGAGATCTGGGGCATATTTCAGAATGCTATTTTTCTCTCGGTGGGATTTCGCGATCGCCTCTCTAGCACCCTTATCCATACTACAACAACGTTCACAGCCGCCACCAGGTCAAAACCTAAATTTCCATTATTTTTTTATATTTGTATACAATTTGTTGAATTTCCTGTCCTATGAGATGATTTCAATTTAACTGATAATGGAATAAATTTTCCCATAACATTGATTGTATTGCGTATTTATGAAGAAATTTTTTTTTTTGCCTACATTTATATAATTCTATGGAATAGATATACTTGTTTTTTGGAGTTTGATTGTTGGAGTTGGGTTGGGGATGTGATGACCTGGAATAACAATTATTTCATGTTATTTAATTTTCATGTTTCATTTCTTTGTTTCTTATGATGGTATGTAGGTAGATGCCAAAGGTTTTCACATTAATTACATTTTTGGTACTCTGTTTGGGAGTTTTTTTTTCATTTCTCAGTCTTTTCTTCTTAATATTAGAATCATATCAATAAATGAAATTTCTGTATAACATAAATTCAAAAAAAAAAAAAAAAAAAGAAGACAAAAAAATTTAATCAAGGATCTAATGATACCATTAAAAATATAGTTTGCTATCCTTTTTGTTCTTGTTCTTCCCTTTATTGAAATTAAGTGTTGTCCCATTTCAAAATTTCTGATTTTCATTATTATTTTCTGAGTTTGCAAGCAGTTTTGGATCTACTCCTAAAATGCTCAATTCCAATTGGTTGCTAAAGATATTCTTGTCTATTACTTAGTAAAACTTAAAAATTAAAAGATATTCTTTGTGTATTCAACTTAGATGGACACAATGTTCTATCTAATAGCCTTCTCTAATGTGTTATGTATTGTCAAAAGTATCAAATAGAACTATAGAAGATTGAGAGTATCCAACTAGGTAGAAAATAGGTACCAACATTCAAAAAAAAGAAGAAGAAGAAGAAGAAGAAGACGGGTTTCAAACCCTACTGGCATGGGCAAAATTAAAACAAACATTCATCAAAGTCCCTAATGTATGTGAGTTGTGATAATTGAAATGCTCTCTTTACCTTCCCAGAGACTTGATATTACAAGTACTGCATGAATATTATACAACATATAAGAATTTCTCTTTCTAAAACATATTCAGCAATGCAGTTCATTAGCAATCAGAAATTCTGATTAGGACTTGCTATTTTATTTCCAACATATCCCTAAATTTATTATGGATAATGACCATAAAGATTCAGGACCAACACTGGACCATATAGACATATAAACATGGAAAGAAGCTTAACAGTGAGCGGTGCAAAAACAATCCATGTTGTGGAGGTTCATGAATTTTCCCATCTGCTCTAAAAACTTAGAGATTTTAAAAATATATGCATATACAATAAATAACACATTCTAGGTTCCACCTGCATACATTGCATTTACTACCACCTGCTCTAATCTCCCACCTGCATACATTGTATTTACTACCCAATTCTCAATTATTTAGAAATTCAACACTTAATATCCAACTCAACTGATCTTGAAGATCAACATTTTGTGGTAGATTTTGAATTTCATGAGTTAGTTTCATTTGTATTCTTGAAAGTGAAAGAAGAATGATAGATGTTGTCCATATTTCCATATTGATTGTATTTATGGACATTTCTTTTTTTAAAAATTCCTGCCTGCTAAGTTTGAATATTTAGCTAAGAATGAAACTTATTTGAGTAATTAATATTAGTTTTGGTGGTGGTATGGGTTGCTACTTTTCATATAGTTGGTTGATTCGTACTTATTTGCGGAACTAAGATTTTAATGAGATAGAGAGCTTTTCTTGGCTATTATGTTAAGCCTTGCTGGGGATTTTATTTTATTAATTAGATTAAAGAGATTTATTATTTATGCATGTCTAAATATTGCTTTGTTTGAGTGTATATATTTACATTTGGAATAATATTTTTTGTAAATTACATAGGTGCCAGGCTGACTTCACACATGGAGGTGCTTTAACTAAGTTTTGGTGGTTCATGGATGCTGTTTTCAACAATGGTGTATAGATTATAGTTAATACATTAGTTAAATGAACATTGGTGTACTAGACAAGTCTTTTTACATACTGAATGGTTATTTATGGTGCACATGAGTTTTGCCCTTTAAATATTTGTTTAATTTTGTGTTTTGGTTTTGGTTAATGAAGTTTGTTATTTGTTCTTAGATGTGACTAATTTTTTTGAGGTATATTTCCTACATTTGTTATGGCGGAGTGATGATACTTGAAAATTAGATGTTATTTTGAGTTGGCGGCAACTAATATTTAGTTGGAATGTGGAATTTGAGTTGAATATTTATAATGAATGATATATTTTATTCATTTATTTGGAATGGTTATGATAAAATATTCAGTTTCTTAAGTCCCAAGAAGAATAAATAGTGAAGCCTTCACTATATATGACAATGATAAAAGTGTTTTCATAATCCCATTCTCACACACATCTCTAGAAGCAAATTATATAAATTGTAAAATTATAGATGGGAATGATTCACTAAGAAGTCTACTTATCAATGTTAAAGATATGTTGACTTGGGTCTTGAATTATTAAAGAACTATTAAAAATCAAAAACATATGCTCTCAATGTATTGATACATTGAAGTAGTGTTGGAGACCTATACAAACGTTTTAGTATCAACCATACACTATGGAAATGGCTCATTTGCAAAAGCTTTTGTTCTTCATAGGTCACATAGATTTGAGTCTTCCAATAGAAAATGGGAAGAAACAACTGTGTTTATTATTATTAATTATTTTTTTCAAAGATTTGACACATTTCCAGTGTGTTTAGTTGAGTGTTAGCATGTCAAACTTGAACTAAAACAGTTCCAGTTAGAGGTATTGGCCAGTGCTTAGAACTGCTGCTGCTGATGATGATACCACCACTATTAATAATAGTTCATTATATTGAATGCCTGGGCTGGCATCATATTATTGTTTTATTTATTATTATTATTATTTTTTTAAGTGGCAACATGTATCTTAGTAATTCTGTATCTTAATTATTCGAATATGTTGAGAAAATTTGGCATTCATTTTTTCCTGCTCGGTCTTTCCAATTAATGTTGGAACAAAACTGAAATTTTGAAATGGTTTTGTAGGATGTGATTGATAGAGATTTGTGTGAGCAGTTCCTAACATTGCCGTTGGATCTGCAATGAAAAATTGCAGATGAATTGGACATAACTCCAACAGAGATTTTGAAGAAACTTGAAGAAGTTCGAAATAAGACCATTTGAGAATTATTAGTCCTAAGGTACATTAATCCTCTACTAACCAACTTAGACATGTCTTTTTAGCATGGATATGTATTTATATATTGTGAACGTAATTTTTATGTTTATATTATACTACACAGAAAACTGGTGGTAATAGTTTACAATCGGTCATGCATTTGTTTTTTCTTGATATGTCTTTCTTGTTATGTGGTGTTTTTTTTATCTATAATAGCTATCAAATCTGTTCTATAGAAAATTGCACCAGGGTGGACACAATGTGAATGGAACAAGGTGCATCTTTTGGAGTATGGGTCTGAGTACTCGACATGCTAGAAGAAGCCAATAAAAATGAATAAGAAAAAATAAATGATAGGAAGTTGAATGAGAAGGGACATAACAGAGAACATAATACCATTATATAGATGTTGTAGCATTATATAGATGTTGAAGGAATTGTAGAATTAGAGATGGGAATGATTCACTAAAACTTACTAAAAAAGTTTCATATGTAGAAATCAAAAATAGAAAAAAGCATTTCTAAGAAAAATGGGAAGGTAGAGAAAAGGCCAATAATTATGTCAGACCATTGTAAGATAAAAATGTAACCAAAATGTGACCAATAGATGAGGTTAATTGGAGTATATATGACTTTAGAAGAACAATATTTCTGAAAGCTAGTTAATTGGAAAAATAACCATTTGCAGTTTAATTTTGTTAGGGTGGAAGAAAGATAATAATTGTACTATAATCTTTATTGATATATATATATATATATAATTTTCGTTACATCCTTAGTGGGGAAAAAAAAAAAATTGCATTATGAAGGGCATCTAGAGCACATCCAAACCTCGCCCTTCTTTAGAGAAGACAAAGGAAGAACGCTAGTAGGGAGGGAGTGAGCGATACACAACAGTGAAAGGATTGCTAGTTGTCTTGGATTACTACCCCAGTTCAACATATGACTACTCCATCTTTTCTTGCTTTCCGTACCCTCTTCAAATAACATGCCGTTAAGAAAGTAGCTTGCTCTTTCTACGTGCCAACCTCAATACAAGCTGCCGCCACTCCGTGGTCTTATCTATAAGTATGATGGGAAGCTGAGATTATGAGGGTAGAGCGAAAATACAATAAGCTTAGCTTGGCAACAACGGCATTAAGCAACTCTCTGAAAATAGGTGGAGCTGCAGTTGTCTTTGCCCCCATCCTGAAATTTTCCTTTGGGAGAATATAAATGGAAATTCCACAATCTTGAGGCCGATTTTGTTAGTTGAATTGAATCTTTTGTGTTAATTTTTGTACTAAAAATTCCAACTCTTTTCTGTAAAATCAATTTCTTTTGCAGGTAAATTCATGCCTGTGATAAATAAGGCAATGGTAGAGCTTGAAGGTAAAGATCCTTTTATTGCAATCACACACTTATGTTTAGTGGAATTGATTATCTATTGTCGTGTCACTGGATGCAACGAAATTTTATGGTGTAATGCATTAATAATTAATTGCAATTGGCATGAACCCTGACTTATATAAATCTGAACCAACCAAAATGTAATAATTTTTTTTCCTAAATGTAATAATTAATTGTAATTGAATTGATTTCTCAGCTACATTCTTTTGTTTTTGATTTTCTCAGTCATGTAATATCAAATTACCATTACACAGATAAAGAACATAGCAATGAAACAGTTGAATTTCAGTCACAGCACACACTCAGCAGGCTTTTTAAACTGAAAACCTTATTTAGTGAGGTTTATGAGGTCAAAACAAGAACAAACCAATTTTCTGGTTTATAATCAACTTCAACAGCTTCAAATCATCAATACAATCATGCTCAGATAATGTACAAGCATAGTACAACAAGATTATATCACGATAAACTCAGTTCCAACAGTATAAACCAGAAAAACAAGTTAAATTGAGGGTTTGAGATATGAGATTCTATACTAGCTTTGATATGTGTTCCCAAATGACTTTAGCTGATATAAACCACCAAGATACACTTGCTCACCCCTTATTCTAGTTTAAGAAATAGCCACAACAAATTTTCACCTTCTCAGTCTCATTTTTCACCATAAAATCAGCTTCACAACCCCTTATAGTCTTCATTAGATTAGCACCTTTGTATGTTGATTCTAGAGCTCAAACACAGCACAACTCTTCAAAGAATCACTTTGAAATCATCCTGAACTATTAGCTTTCAAGGACCTTTTCATTTTCAGCTCATGAGGTTCATTTTTGGCTCTCAAAAAGTGTACACTCTCAGCTCTAAAGCTTATTTTCAGGTTCTCTCTTGTACATCCTTCTGCTGCTGCTATAACAGCATATATATATCAAGAAATTACTGCCCTAGTGTGGATGAGTATTCTCCATCACTGGCCAATTGTAGATACTAATATAATCTGACATTGTATACATTAAATAGACCAAACAGCCCCAGTGCAGCCCTAGCTTGTATCACACAAACCACCTTTTCTGCAGCCTACATTGTCATTGTACAATGCTGATACATATACAATTAAGAGCTTCATTTTTCTGTTATTATCCTATCACTCTAGGACCACTGTTCATGTGGCTCAATGTAGGGGGTCCTTTATTGTACAATGAAAATACTAGGAAATACTAGAATTGCCTTTAACAAGGATATATATTGCTGCAATGGCTGTGATGTATATATATACCTGATAATAACCTCTGTAGTGTATTGCATCATATAGTAAGAGTATAACACATACACACTCATGAGTATAATGACTGAAATGCCCCTGAATTGCCCTTGTGATACCAATATAGATAGAATAACCATGAACCCTTTTGGTTAACATTTGACATTAAAAAGGCAAACCTCACTTAGAACCAACAAATACAAGACATTTTCCAATCCTTACATCCCGAATTCTCAGAAAAGGGGGCTCCAATGCATCCATTGAGAATGATGAACTCGGACTGTTGCTTGAAACCCCATCCGATCGCTCCAGTAGCCTTTGTATCTCATTCTCTGCCTCAATGAGCTGTTCCTCGAGCTTTAGTACCTGTTTAAATATCAAGTCTTATGTTAATTAATTACGAGATTAATGAGTTTAAAAACTTAAGAGCTAGGAATTATAATATGGGATCATGAAATGCCATGTGTTGCTCCACCCAGCTACCTTAAAGAACTATGTGCGGACTCTTGTGAATTGATGAAACATGTAGAACTGTTTTGCTTTCTTGTGCCTTGGGAGACACTTGTGTTCTTATCAACTTTCCTTTTCTCTTGTTAATTAGTCTATTTTTATAGCAATATTAGCTACCTTAAACAAATATTACTCCATAAAAAATAAATAAATAAATAAATTATGGTAAAGTCTAGGGAGTGGAGTACAGGAGGTTTCTTTTATGTGCGAATATAAATAATTTTTCTATAGGTTTCTTTGATGATATCTTGGTCACCGACTGTCCTTTGTATCGAGCAAGCCTAAATGGAAATTTTTATCTTCGTGATGCTAACACAAGCTTAGTTGTATGGCTTAAGAAATATGTGAAAATTATTCAGGTCAATTAGTCATTCATTAACTTATTATTATATTTCTTAAATTAGTCGTATGATCTGATTTTTTATGTATTTGTTGGCATTACATTTTTGAAATATTTTTTCCTGACAGGATTGATTATCACCAATTCATTAGGAGTAGAAGAATCAGAATTTCTATGGTTCCAGTTTACAACAAAGGTCAAATACTAAGCTTCTTTTATGATTGCACAATTTTAATGCTTTTTATACTCATACTTAGGGGGGTCACGTGCCTTTAAGTGACCAATTTTGCGGTGTATCTTGAACTTTATTACATTATTGGTACATCGGCCCGTGTGGAGGCCATTTTTATTTCTTGTTTTAAAATGTTGAAAGCATGGGAGTATGGGATCATCGTATGTGGAGGTTTTGATTGATTGTTGTGGAGGAGAAGTTGTTGATATGTTGTTTATAAAATGAAACAAGATTTTGAAAAGAAATTCTGTCCGTCCCTAATTGTTGCGTGCCAAAAGAGTTTTAGGGACAGTAAAATATGACTGTGACTAAAAAAACTCGACTTTAAGGACAGTATTTACTGTCCCAAATAATACCATCCCTAATAAATTTTAGGGACGATAGAGATTGTCCCTAATACTCTATATATTAAGGACAGTTTTTATGAACGTCCCTGATGCATATAATTTTGAGGACAACATGTACCGTCCCTAATACACTAATTTTATTTATTTATTTTTTTATATTATTTTTTGGACCACATGCACCATGTTCTTTCTTTGGTATCAACATCATCACCATGTTCTCTTTTTAAAAACTTCCAAAAAAAAAAAAGAAAAAATTCATCATATACAAAACAATAAAATAAGTTTTAAACCAAATCTAACAATAGCCATCAAAACAAAAATAAATCCACCACATCGGTCTCTGGAAAAGTAGAAAGTGATATAAGTATATACATGTATGTGTGTAGAGAGAAAGAGGGGCCTTCATGGAAAAGTTGAAAGAACTCACAATTGTTGGAGATGATAATCAGAAACCTTAAGCCGAAGAAGGTCGAATGGTCGATGTGGTCGAAGAAGAACTCACCACTGATGAATGCAGTGAATAATTATAAGAAGTATATCTAATTCTTGAGAATCAATCCTAGTAGAATAATTTCAAACATTCAATATATTAAAAATATAAGATATGTTGTGTCTATGCAAGAACAAACTAGTTAGCTAGGATGAGGAGACGATCACAGCTATAGTAGGGGAGTAATGTCTAATATAAAATGTTTGAAAAAAGTTAAAATAAGGTGCATTACATTGTAACATTTATTGAGTTCTCCGTTTTTTTTTTCCAATTATTTATATATTTTTTTTGGGTACAACTTCTGAGAGGACCTGATCCTATGACAAAGACTATAACTCGGCAGGGCAAACCCAAAGCCCAATCCAAAAAAATTGGGGTTTTGGCAGTGTTATTTGGAATTTGGTCTAGGCTTGGATTCATCCATGTTTAGCAACCCAAAATCCAACCCGAACCTGTCATGAATTAGCTAACATTTTTTTTTTTTAAGGTAGAAGTGTAGATGAGTTAGAAAGTTAAGCTAGATTCTATTATTTTCCTACATTAATGCATATTCCTACATACATGGTTGAGGGTGGTGAATATATTTTTTACCTTCATTTGCTTTGTGATTTGTGGTCAAGAGATCAAGTTGGAAGTTCTCCACCTGGTTTATGAACTCTCTAGATTCTGTCATGTGACAGAATCTAATCCATTGGAAAATTTTCAACCTTGTTTTGAGATTTTTGAAAGGTTTTAAAGTGCAACTGGTTGAAATTAATCGGTTGCACATGTCATGTTGCAGAGACATTATTTTTGGATATATTTTATATTCTTTTTCAAATAAAATTAGTTGAGGTATTCATTAGAATTTTGACAATACTTTTTTACTTTGACTTGAACGACGAGAGAGTATTAAATATCTAGGGACCGGGGTTATTCCAACCTATAAATGTTAGTTTGCAACAATTCAATGAATATAGAATGTTAATACGAATTTTTAATGGCCTGTTGCGTGAATTATATATGGATTAATTGTTATAGCCTTTTTTCCTATCTAAACCCAGTTAACCACACACCCTTAGCATTAATATCAGATACAACGAAAACTAGACAAATCTTTCAAATTAAGTGCAGTCCTTGTCATTTATCCCCTGATCTTGTTGCAGTTGGAGTGTATGAAGAAATCATAAAATTAACATCAGCACTGTATATAAACAATTTAGCATAAATTCGTGCATGAGAGTTCCTGAATCAATACGAATCATTAAAAAAGAAAAAAAGAAAAAGTCATAGACATTATCCATCAATTAGATACAAAGGTTCTTGCTAATCCAATATCCAAAGCAGAGAGTATTTATGAATTTTATGTTTTAATCCTATAAAAAAACACAGCAAAAAAGCAAATATACAGATCTGAGAAGCACCGAAAAAAAAATTTAAATATATAAAAATGTTTGTGTTTGATTCATAAATGATAATCTTGTTATTTCCTTTTTTTTATTAGCATTCTGAATTTGAGACTTGTGTGATGCAGTTACTTTCTTGGATTTTGTACTGTGGATTTTGCAGCTACTTCCTTGGATTTTGTATAGTGAGGTGGTTTTTTGACAAGTGCAGATTGAAACTCAAATGCTAGAAGGTTTATCAATATTTCAACAGAAGTGTTAAGAAATTGATGATTTTCTTGACAAATGGATGTACTTTCTGTTTTGGAACATTGATAAATGATGAATTGTAAAAATGTTTTAACTCTTTTGATATATTTAATGGGATATGTATGTTTTTTGAATTGAATTGAATTGAATTATAGCTGAAAATGATGTGAATTATAGGTAGTGGATGATTAACTGGAATTAATTAAGGGTGCATTATTTATAAAAAAAATATATATATATTTTATTTACGGGGAGCTTGAAATACCATAAATAAGTGAAAATTCTCCTTAAATAACTTTTATATGACATACATGGCAAGTCGTGAGAATGGTTTATATTATTTACGGATACCTAAAATTTGCCGTAGAAAAGTTTTCTACGGCATGGTTCAATGCCTCGTGAGATTATTTACGGGTAGTTAAAATTCGCCTAAGAAAACTTTTTTACGGCATGCTTCTGTACCTTGTCAGATTATTTACGTGTATTTACAATTTGTCGTAGAAAACTTTTTTACGGCATCCATCGATACCTCGTGAGACTATTTACGGGTAGTTACTCTTCGCCGTAAAAAACTTTTCTACGGCAGGCGATGGTGTCTCGTGAATTTTCTACGGATAGTTACAATTCGCCGTAGAAACCTTTTCTACGGCATGCCATGGCACCTCGTAGGTTAATTAAATATAATTTAATATATATAAACGAAATTATTTTCTACGGCGAATCTATTGTTTTTCTACGAGGTAAATTTTTTCTCGTAAAAAAAATTAAGTATTTACGGAACCCTCATACACGAGTGCCTAGAATGCACCGTGAATAGGTTTCCACGGCGTTTTTCGCCCCTCGTAGAAGCCCTTTTTTGTTGTAGTGTCATTTACATACATATCCATACGTGTAGGTATGTTGGGTGTGTTGTGCTGACAGCATACCCAACCTTCATGTAATTATGCTACAAGTAGTCAATAAGGCTTTATTTTATCCTTTAAAGTAATACAATATATACTTACTTTTAATCGCTAAAATTTTTCGTCAATTACATACAATATAGTTACATAATAAAGTGATTTCGAGGAGCTTCCACACAATCCAGTAATTTAGTGCAATATAAAACTTGGCTGCTACAAGCTTAATTTGTAAGCTTTAAAAAAACAAAATAAAACTTCACAAAACAGCCAAACCACAAAATAAATAATATATAAATCATGTCTAATTAAAATAAAATCATGCTAATGAACTTAATTTTGTATCGGGATCTTACATATTATGTCATTAGACATTTTTCACTTATAAAGATTAAATCATTAAATGAAAATTAGAGTTCTGAGTTTAACTTATTCGAGTTCCCTATGAAGTTGCGAAGAGTGTTTTAATCCCTAAAGATTTAATCTTTGAAAGCAAATATCTCAATCAAGGTACCTTTTATGTCAGTAGACTTTTTTAATCTATAAAGATTGAATCTTTGAAAGAAAATTGGAGTTTTGAGTTAAACTTATTTGAGTACCCTTTGACGTCCAGAAGAGTGCTTTAATGAGTAAAGATTGAATCTTGGAATGAAAATACATCAATCAATGTACCTATTATACCACTCAACCATTATAATGTATAAAAATTGAATCATTGAAAGAAAATGAGAGTTTTTAGTTAAACTTATTCAAGTTCCGATTGACGTCTCGAAGAGTGTTTTAATGAGTAGAGATTGAATCTTTGAATGAAAATACCTCAATCGAGGTATCTATTATGTCACTAGACCATTTTAATGTATAAAATTAAATCTTTGAAACAAATGAGAGTTTTTTGTTAAACTCATTCGAGTTCCCTTTGACTTCACGAAAAGTGTTTTAATGAATAAGGATTGAATCTTTGAATGAAATTACCTTAATCTAGGTACCTACAATGTCCCTAGACGTTTTTAATATATATAAAGAATTGAATCTTTGAAAGAAAATGAGAGTTTTGAGTTAATCTTATTCGAGTTCGCTTTGACGTCATGAATAGTGTTTCAATGAGTAAAGATTGAATTTTTGAATGAAATTACTACAATCAAGGTACCTATTATGTCCCCGGACCTCTTTAATGGTTCAAGACTGAATCTTTGAAAGAAAAATGAGAGTTTTGAGTTAAACTTATTCGAGTTTCCTTCGACATTCCGAAGAGTGTTTTCATGAGTAAAGATTGAATCTTTAAAAGAAATTATCTCAATCAAGGTACCTATTATGTCACTAATCCTTTTTAACGTATAAAGATTGAATCTTTGAATAAAAATTAGAGTTTTGAGATTAACTTTTTCGAGTTCCCTATAGAGTTGCGAAGAGTGCTTTAATGACAAAAGGTGGAATCTTCAAAAGAAAATACCTCAATCAAGGTACCTATTATTTCAGTATACCTTTTTAATCTATAAAGATTAAATCTTAGAAAGAAAATGAGAGTTTTGAGTTAAACTTATTCGAGTTCCCTTTGACGTCCAGAAGAGTGCTTTAATGAGTAAAGATTGAATCTTTGAATGAAAATACCTCAATCAAGGTACTTATTACGTCACTGGACCGTTGTATTATACAATTTTTAAATCTTTGAAAGAAAATGGGAGTTTTGAGTTAAACTTATTCGAGTTTCTTTTGACGTTATAAAGAGTGTTTTAGTGAGTAAAGACTAAATCTGTGATGAAATTACATCAATCAAGGTAACTATTACGTCATTAGACCTTTTAATGTATAAAGATTGAACCTTTAAAAGAAAATGAGAGTTTTGAGTTTAACTTTTTCAAGTTCCTTATGAGGTCGCGAAGAGTGTTTTAATGACTAAAGATTGAACCTTTGTACGAAAATACCCCAATCAAGGTAATACCCCAATCAAGGTACCTATTATGTCACTGGACCATTTTAATGTATAAACATTAAAGCTTTGAATTAAATTACGTCAATGAAGGTACCTACTATGTCACTAGACTATTTTAATGCATAAAGATTCAATCTTTGAATGAAAATCAAAGCTTTGAGTTCAACATATTCGAGTTCGCTTTAACGTCACGAAGTGTGTTTTAATGTATAAAGATTGAATCTTTGAATGAAATTACCTCAATCAAGGTACCTATTATGTCATTAGGTCTTTTAAATGTATAAAGATTGAATCATTGAAAGAAAATGAGAGTTTTGAGTTTAACATATTCGAGTTCTCTATAAAGTCGCGAAGAGTGTTTTAATGACTAAAGATTGAATCTTTGAATGAAAATAGCTCAATCAATGAACCTATTATGTCACTAGACCATTTTACTGTATAAATATTAAATCTTTAAAAGAAAATGAGAGTTTTGAGTTAAACTTATTTGAGTTCCCTTTGAGTTCACGAAGAGTGTTTTAATAAGTAAAGATTGAATCTTTAAATGAAATTACATCAATCAAGGTATTAACTATGTCACTAGACCTTTTAATTGTATAAAGACTGAATCTTTGAAAGAAAATAAGAGTTTTGAGTTTAACTTATTCAAGTTCCCTATGAAGTCGCGATGAGTGTTTTACAGACAAAAGATAAATTTTTCGAATGAAAATACCTCAATCAATGTACCTATTATGTCACTAGACCATTTTATTGTATAAAGATTAAATATTTGAAAGAAAATGAGAATCTTGATTTAAACTTTTTCGAATTCCCTTTGACGTAACGAAGAGTGTTTAAATGAGTAAAGATTGAGTCTTTGAATTGAATTACCTCAATTTGGGGACTTATTATGTCTCTTGACCTTTATAATGTATAAAGATTGAATCTTTTAAAGAAAATTTGAGTTTTGAGCTTAACTCATAAAAGCTCCCTTGGAAGTCGCGAACAGTGTTTTAACGACTAAAGATTAAATCTTTGTAGGAAGATACCCCAATCAAGGTACCTTTTATGTCACTCCACCTTTTTAATGTATAAAGATTGAATATTTGAAAGAAAATGTGAGATTTGAGTTAAACTTAATCGAGTTCCCATTGACGTCCCGAAGTGTGTTTTAAAAAGAGTAAAGAATGAATCTTTGAATGAAAATACCACAATCAAAGTACATATTATGTCAGTAGACCATTTTAACGTAAAAAGATTAAATCATTGAAAGAAAATGAGAGTTTCGTGCTAAGCTTATTGAAGTTCCCTTTGACGTCACGAAGAACGTTTTAATGAGAAAAGATTCAATCTTTGATTGAAATTACCTCATTCAAGGTATTAATTATATCATTAGACCTATTATGTCACTGGACCATTTTAATGTATAGAGATTAAATCTTTGAAAGCAAATTAGAGTTTTGAGTTAAATATATTCGAGTTCCCTTCGACGTCACAAAGAGTGTTTTAATGAGTGGAAATTGAATCTTTAAATGAAATTTCCTCAATCAAGGTACCTATTATGTCACTACACCTATTTAATGTTTAAAGACTGAATCTTTGAAATAAAATTAGAGCTTTGAGTCAAATTCATTCGAGTTCCCTGCGACATTCCGAAGAGAGATTTTATGAGTAAAGGTTGAATCTTTGAATGAAATTATCTCAATCAAGGTACCTATTATGTCACTAGTCCTTTTTAACGTATAAAGATTGAATCTTTAAAAGAAAAATAGAGTTTTGAGATTAACTTTTTCGAGTTCCCAATAGAGTTGCGAAGAGTGCTTTAATGATAAAAGGTCGAATCTTTGAAAGAAAATACCTCAATCAAGGTACCTATTATGTCAGTATACCTTTTTAATCTATAAAGATTAAATCTTAGAAAGAAAATGAGAGTTTTGAGTTAAACTTATTCGAGTTCCCTTTGATGTCCAGAAGAGTGCTTTAATGAGTAAAGATTGAATCTTTGAATGAAAATACCTCAATCAAGGTACTTATTACGTCACTGGACCATTGTCTTATACAATTTTTAAATCTTTGAAAGAAAGTGGGAGTTTTGAGTTAAACTAATTCGAGTTTCTTTTGACGTTATAAAGAGTGTTTTAGTGAGTAAAGACTGAATCTGTAATGAAATTACATCAATCAAGGTAACTATTACGTCATCAGACCTTTTAATGTATAAAGATTGAATCTTTGTAAGAAAATGAGAGTTTTGAGTTTAACTTTTTCAAGTTCCTTATGAAGTCGCGAAGAGTGTTTTAATGACTGAAGATTGAATCTTTGTACAAAAATACC